TGTCAATATCCCACTACTTCTAAGCCGAACACGCAAGGCAGGAATCATACGCGCCACCCTTCAAAAGTGTCTGTTCCTCGGGGATATTGTTTTAAGTTTCATCGCGGAACGTTTTGTGCCGGTTGTGATTTCAAGCACATTTGTTTTAAATGCAACGGATCGCACCGTGCCGTGAATTGTAATTTTCATCTCCCACTGATCGATCGCCTAGGCCTATTTCAACAACGTCCGTTGCCAACACCCGTAAAACTTCATAATTTACAAATATTGTTAGAAGGTTATAATCCAAGTATTGTTGATACACTAATTTCCGGATTTACTTCGGGTTTTCGCATTCATTTCTCTGCCACAGAACAGTCGTTTGAAGCAATAAATTTACGGTCTGCTCTTGACAAACCAGAAGCGGTTGACCAAAAATTAACGAAAGAGTTAGAGGCATCTCGCCTTGCTGGGCCATTTAATTATCCGCCCTTTCCAAATTTTCGTGTTTCGCCTTTGGGCCTGGTTCCTAAAAAACAACCGGGTGATTTTCGCATGATTCATCATTTATCGTTTCTAAAGGGAGCATCGGTTAATGATGGTATATCCGATTTCGAAACATCTGTGCGGTACGCTATCGTTGACGACGCTATTCAACTTATTAAAAAAGCGGGCCGGGGTTGTTTCCTGGCGAAAACAGATATAAAAAATGCTTTTCGAATCATTCCTATCAGCCCAGCGGATTATCACCTCTTTGGCATAAAATGGCGGAGTTTGTATTATTACGACCGGGCAATGCCAATGGGTTGCTCCAGTTCGTGTCGCACTTTTGAGATTTTTAGTACGGCTATCGAATGGATCACTAGGGAAAGGCTTAACATCGGCAAACTCCTTCATTTGCTCGACGACTTCCTGTTTGTTGCACCGGATTATTCTGCTTGTAAAACAAACTTACAAGTATTCATTGCTCTTTGTGATTTCATTGGCGTGCCTATAGCACCGGGAAAAACCATGGGTCCCTCAACAACCTTAACGTTCGCTGGGATTGAATTAGATACAATACAATTCCAGGCCCGATTGCCGATGGATAAAATCGAGAAATGTGTTCAATCTATCGCACGCTTTTTAATTCGTAAAAAGGTTACACTCAAAGAACTTCAGTCCTTAATTGGATTACTTAATTTCGCATGTTCCGTCATTATGCCAGGTCGCGCATTCCTGCGACGCTTAATTGATCTAACGCATGGCATTTCACACCCTCATTTCTTTATTCGCTTAACGCAAAGTGTGAAACATGATCTTCGTGTCTGGCAAACGGTTCTGTCGAATTTCAACGGCAAATCATTCTTTTTGCACAACCATTGGCGTAATAACTCCCATTTGAATTTATATACTGACGCTTCGGGTAGTATTGGTTTTGGGGCCCTGTTTGGTTGCGACTGGTGCTATGGCGCATGGCCAACTGACTGGCGGAGTTACAATATTGCCGTTCTAGAGCTATATCCGATTGGCCTCAGCCTGTGTTTATGGGGATCAAAAATGCGCAATCATTGTATTTTGTTTCTCACGGATAATGAAGCTTTGGTGTCTGTTATTAATAAGCAAACATCAAAGGATTCTTATATCATGACACTCGTTCGCCGGATGGTTTTAGTTTGTTTAGAATACAATATTTTATCCAAAGCAAAGCATATACCGGGTAAACAAAATGTCCTAGCTGATTGTTTGTCTCGTTTACAGCTCCAAAAATTTTCACAATTGGCGCCGGCCGACATGCATCGAGCTCCAACGCCTATTCCCTTTCACCTGCTGCCGGAAAATTGGCGACTATAGTTTCTCAATTAGCTCAAAGTAGCTTGCAACCTTCTTCAGTGCCGACTTATAAACGGGCATGGGCACTTTTTACGCAATTTCATGTGGCAATTTTTAATGAGGGATCGTTCACTTTGCCTTTGTCGCCCTCAGTCGTTGCGTTATTCATAGCGTACTTATTTGACCTCAAGTACGCCTCTTCAACAGTTAACACTTATGTATCTGCACTTGGTTATACTCATCGCATGTCCGATCTACCGGATCCAACGAGAGTTTTCTACGTAACGCAAATCTTAAAGGGGTATGGTAAGAAAGGCTTCCGCTTAGATAGTAGGTTGCCTATAACTTTACCAATTCTCAATCGTCTTATTGAGGCTGCGCCTCATATTGCTGGGTCACCGTACCAAATATGTCAATTCCGGGCAATGTGCTCTTTAGCATTTTTCGCGTTCCTGAGAATTGGAGAAATAACTAAGAAGTCAAATAACCAACCCCTTCAATTGCGACAACTCTCCAAAATATCTCCCGATGATGGCCGGGTTGCAGGCATAAGGTTGACTTTCGAGGACTTCAAGCACAATTATAACAGTAGACCTTTTAGTTTGGAAATTTACAGGCAAACGGCATGCTGTCCTGTTCGCTTATTAGAGGAGTACATGATTTGTGAGGTACCCAGCCCGGAGCTATTTTTCTATCACAACTGGGCATTCCAGTCTCGTGTGACGAGTTTGCCAATCTTCTTAAAAAGGCTTTCCGCTTCTGTGGACTCGATACTTCCAAATATAAGTCTCATTCATTTCGAATAGGCGCCGCTTCCCACGCAGCTGAACACGGGCACTCTGATGCCCAAATTCGAACTATGGGGCGTTGGAAATCGAACGCATTCCTCAAATATATACGTTTTTCTTCCCTATCAACATAGTTTGGATGAATTTTCGAGCGTAAAACGTGCGGGCAGTTTTCTGCTCGAATTGTGCGGTTATTTTATTTCTTCCTCAGCTTGCACATGGTCAGCAAGGGCGATCGTTTGCATTCCGGGGGGGAAATAAAGTGCTTATAACAGGGTGATGGAGAAGCTTCTTCTGGGCGCGGTAATATTGTGACTCTGCTAAACTAATATCAGTTAAGTGTAGATTATCAGCAAGGGCGATAATCTATGCCTTTTAACGGGCTTTGTAAGTGCCTTTTTGCCCATGTTCGTTTATACGGTCGCGCAGACCGCTGATCCTGTATTAATTATTACGAAACTTTCTGAAACTTTCTGCATGCATCCCTTTCCTTGGGGTGGGGTCAACTTGCTTTGCTTCGTTGTTTTGGCGGTAATTTGCCTCCACCCTTTTCTGAGCGTAACTATTTGGAATTTTAATGCAATGTATTAATAAATATCGTTTTGTTTAACAGAAATAAAGCGGCTAGGAGAACCATTACTCCTAGCCAAAATTATCCCAAAACGGCGTAAAATTTAATGTGTCATTATTGATGCTCAGAAAACTGAGCTGCGGAAAGAGTATGCAAAATCATGCCTGGCAATATATCTATGCGTAAATAAATCACATTACATAAAACAAAATATTTACGAAGGAAATAAGAAATTTATGTAATGTGATTTTATAAATAGACTATTAAGGCAAGGTGTACCCCCAAGGGGACACGCCTTGCCGACGATAATTAAAAATCTTATATTATGGGCTTTGCGTCCTATCTAAAAGACCGACAGGTAATGGATGGCACGCAATATGGGAAAGGTGGTCAATGGCCGCAGCAAATCGAAAACTAACAAAGACCGAATACCCTAATCATAAACGGTCAGTTTAAGCGTGACATCGCGAAAGACAGATCTCCTTTAAAGTTGAACCCACCTCCTCCCCAAAGCCTCCGCTAACAATTATTACATTGGACGATTTACCGTAGCTGATATATATAGAGAGAGGAACGTTATATCTCAATTAGTGATGGTCGTAGGCCGTATCTACAGGTGCTGGCGGTAATTTGCCTCCACCCTTTTCTGAGCGTAACTATTTGGAATTTTAATGCAATGTATTAATAAATATCGTTTTGTTTAACAGAAATAAAGCGGCTACGAGAACCATTACTCCTAGCCAAAATTATCCCAAAACGGCGTAAAATTTAATGTGTCATTATTGATGCTCAGAAAACTGAGCTGCGGAAAGGGTATGCAAAATTCATGCCTGGCAATATATCTATGCGTAAATAAATCACATTACATAAAGGCCTAGAGTTGGAAGTGGAAGCACTGCATGTTTACGCTTTTCAGTCCCTGTATAATTTATAACCTAATTTCATGTAAATCAAGCCAAATCCATAATACATGCACACAGCAAAATCGTGAGTCTTATTTTAAGAAAAAAAATACAAACAAGTAAAATTGTTCTTGTCAGTATAGTAAGAAATATTCTTGGCAAGAATCCAGGCAAGAATATTATTCTTACCTGGAATCTCATTTTAAGAAAAACAATTCTTGCAACAAGAATTTTCTAAAGAAAAAATACTCGTTTTAAGTAACACATTGCTTGAAATAAGCAAAATTATTATTGTATATTAAGGAACCTACTCACACAATTCTTACCTAGAATGTTACAAATAAGAAAAAAACTACTTAAAACAAGAATAATTTTACTTATAATAAGTACAAAATTTTTAGACAAAAGAAAACATTTCTAGTAATTAAGTTTATTAGCTGGCTTTGAAACATCACAGATACATTATTCTTATACATTATTTTAGTTCAAAATATTAAAACTACTTATTTAGTGGCCATACTAAATATATAAATGCCATACATTTACATCTGACAGAAATAGTTTTTTCAAAGTACTGCTAGGTTTGTGCAATACCTTGCTCAAATAAACAAGTCTTTCAAGGACTTAATTAAAAATTGCCAATTGGCAAGTTTAGGAAAGTATCCGATAGAGCTCAGATAATGAAATTAAGCCCTTGTATGAACCCAGAATTAGTTGAATAAAAATATTCATGGAAGAAGACAAACACATCTATGCAAACTCACTGCATGTCTTCAATTATTACACATAAGCTAAAGTCATTCATTCCTGAGCAATGTTTCCCTTTGATTATTGACCAGCTGTTCTTAAATTTTGTATATCATGCCAAACATGAAAATATTTATAAGATCACCTGGAGTATTTTTTTCCTTGAAAATTAAGTGCTGAAACACTGTGGGTCCAATTAACCATTCGTATAGCAAATTTTCCACTGAATTTCTTGCTCACTACCTCAATCCATGTTCCTAATAAAACAAAAAAGCAAGCATACTTGAGAAATCAGAGTTAAGATAACAAATGTTAAAGAAACTAAGCAGTGCATAATATGTGTGAAATATATGATTGGGGATGCTATGCACAGTTTTGCATGCTCTGACAGATATAAAATTAGGCATAAAGGGTAGTCATCTGGTAAGCTGTCAATGATTTTTCCTTTTATCTATTACATGATAAATAAGTATATAATCAATTGGTCAATAAGTATATAATACCGGTATATTATATTACATTAAAAACAAAGCCATATGCTTAGGTGAATAATCTAACAGCATTGCACAATTCCTTATAATGCATTACTACACCACAAATATTACTTTCCAATGAGACCTCTTTCATTACAGGTTTAGACATAAACATCACCACTTGTTAATCCACCATCTAAGAATGCATATAAAAAAATTTAAAAGGCAATAAAACAGTTATTTCATCCTAATTCTTAATCAAAACTTATGTATCTCCAGTAACCAAGATTCAGTATATCATGATCTTAAGATTGAGTACAAATGTTTCAGCTAAAATTTGACCATGGTTTTATAGCTAACGTGAATATCACGTACACTTTTTATGGCATAGTGCCTATAGTATAACCACGTTATAATATATTTATATAAACGTCGTTCATTTATCGGGAATGATGAGTATTTAAACTGTGAATATATCTGTTTATTGTTTATAAATACGTTTACTGTTTACGCGGCAAATTCAAAAATAGCTTTCGTCTGTTTGCGCGTATAATTTTAAATCCTTACCTCTTAGAAGACTGAGATTCCCAGCCACTTTTAAAACAATCTGCGCAATCTTCTGCAGGAAATTTTGCGACATAATGTCCAGTAAATCCTATCCACAGTAATCCACAATAATCCACAGTTCTTTCCGCCAGTTGGCAGTTAGCGAAGTTTAAAATATATATTTTCATAAGAAACGAACTACGTCCATTCAGAATGCTTAAATAGGCATTAAAACCTTCATTTCGTCTGCATATGAAACGAAACTTGCGAATCTTTGCTCGGTTATTAAATGTTACTTAGTAAGAATGTAAAAATATTCTTGGTTGTTTGAAATAAATTGGTTGTTTGAAATTAGTATTCTTGGCAAGTGAATTGGCAACAAGCGTTTTTGATTGCCGGTTTTAAGTTAACAATGTTTCTTGCCAAGAATCCACAAAGACGCCTTCCTTGTTTTAAGAATACCAAAATTCTTAGTTAGAATACAAGCTAGAACATTTACTTGTTTTAAGAAACGGTTATTCTTGCTTAAAAAAAGTTTACTTATTCAAGTAAAATTCATTCTTGATAAGAATAATTTATCCCCTTTCACTTATTTTGAGCAAAATTTTGCTTAAAATAAGAATTTCTCAAGAACATTATTCTAGGTAAGAATTCTCGATTTCGCTGTGCATGTGCATGATTATATAAATACTGTATAACTGTTTGCCTCAGTGAAATTGAAAATTATTGCCGTGTGTGATCACTGATCAGTGTGATTGGGCGCAACCAGTATATCAACAAAACAACGTTTGCATAATTATAAATTAGACGAAACGGTAATTTTCGTAGTTCGGTTACTCTTTGCAATTAGAGTCAAATTGACTCCTTCGAAGAGTAACATTACCTTTTGGTAGAGTAACAAGACTCTATTGTAGAGTCGTTTTGACCCCAGTCGAAACTACCCTTAGAGTTGAAACAACTATATATATATATATATATATATATATATATATATATATATATATATATATATATATATATATATATACAGACTGTACTGAACAACTTTTGGTAAACAAACTTATGCGTATTTTGGTAAACAAACCCGCATTCGATAAACATTGCTAGAGACCAGACTGAAGTGCATCGACGCTGTTCTCGACAATCTGGGTGGTATGTTGCACCATCGAATTGACAATCGTTTGGGGTACCTTGCCTTCCTCTTTGACCTTGATTAACCCAATACATTTGATCGTTGATTACTCTCGACCTCGCAAACAAAGAGGAAAAAATCATCGTCATCGTTTTTACCATTATAAACGTCAAGTTCATCTCCCTCGTTGTTGGCACGTGGATCTCGTTCAACAACTTCCTCTGCTTGAAGTACTTGACTATGCTTGTTGACAAAATGGTTTCGCAGAGAGAAATAGTTCGTGTACGTACGTGGACATTCATTAATGCCACATAGCGCATGGAAATCCCGATCACTCTTGTGAACCCGACCGAGATGATTGATCAACGAGCGAAGAGTTTGACATGTAAAGTTAATGCATAGGTTACAGTGATAGTGCATTCCGGACATCGTCGAAGCTATAGGAGTAATATTGGAGACGTATTTCAGTTCATGTACTGCTCTACTTCAACTAACTGTGGGACTTGTTGACCTTAGATGTTCCCACATATATCTGCAGTAAGAACTTTGGGTGCAAAACACTGAGCTATATTATAATTCCTGGAGGACTGGTTCGTCATTTTTCGGTAACTTCGCCGCCATCTTTTCGAAGCAAAAAACATGGCGGACTTCACCTTTTGCGCAGTGCGCAGTGTTCCTCTGTGCTCATACCGTGTACTTGGTCGAGATGATTTGCTAACCTTGCTAAATTTATACTACCACAGCCAAATACAGGACAGTTCCTACGCGTGCGACGCATATTAAGATGATTGCTCAACAAATTCCTAATAAAATTGGCTCATTTTTTCGTGCGTCAGGTATTTTATTAGCCCCGTATTAGCCCCGGAAAAGTCCGGGCTTGTCAACGCAAACTCTTGCTTAAGGAAGACAAAGTCAAACGACTAAACAAGAAAACAGTGTAGTGCCCGGACAATATGTTTAAAATATTTGTAAAATTGTTCTACTTTATTATATTGTTACAAGCGTTAATCCGTGTCTTAATTTATGCTCCAAGCATCGCGTTGTCCATAACACCAATATATATTTCCCTCTAAAAATGCATACATTTTTGCATTCGCCATACCCCCTTTTTCCTCCCTTTGAGGAGCTTGGGCCTGAAATATCTCATTGAGCAGATGAGCATCTTTTCATGAACATTTATGAGCATATGCTCATAGGCCCGTTTGGGCCCTATGTGGCCTTATATGGCACTATTAGGCCCGATGGCCCGATTGCTGACTGCGCGTCCTAACCCGCGATTATGGAAAAATATTCCATTAAATATCTATGAGAGCAAGTAAAACAGGAAATCCAGGGAGAACAAGCCAACAGTGTACTAGCCAGTGTACTAGCTCGTTTTTACTCAAACAAGCCACCTATGCGAAACAAAAAATACGGTTACCATATGAACGTCAAAGAATCGCGCGAGTATAGGCGAACATTTGTGTTAAATAACTGTTGACATCACATATGTAAAGACTACATTAACATATGTGACCTTCCACGGGAAAACATACGTTTACGCTATTTCGTTCGTTCAAAAATATCGTTCGTTATCCGTTCGTTTGCCGTTCAAACGCTTCAAGCGTTCGTTGAAACGATTTTCGAGATCGTTCATCGTTCGAAATTGCCCGTTCGAACGCTTAGGAAAAATCGTTCGAAAATTGGTCCAAAAGCGTTCAACGGTTTGATTTACCGTTCGTTGAAACGTTTGCCGGAATTTCGTTCAATCGCATTGGATTTGGTTCAACATTCGATTAAACATTTGCAATGTTACAACTTTAGAGAAGAAGCGCAGAATGTGTTACACAGAAATACTCCCAGAAATGTATTCAGTTCCTTAGTAGAAGGCTTGTAAAGGAATAGTAGGGTTATATCATTTTAGCCTAATCGAATGCTTTTTTGCGCTTCATGTTCTGGTTTATGCTTAGCGTGCTCTTATTTCATTAGCGACAAATTTCACGTTATAAGCTTTCTTTTAAAAATTTATCGTTTTTGTGCTTCGGTAATGCACTGAATGGTTAGAATTTGTGTTTTAATATACTTTCCGATGTTCTAAAACTTAGAATTCATTCTATGTGATTTAGAACACGCGGAACGGGTGTACAGCATTACGAGCCATAATGCCTTGGCAAGGTGCTAATTAAGTTGCATAATTGTCGGAAGTCTGTAATGTATGTAAACAGACAAAACCAGATTTTAAAATCATAAATTGAGGTATTTTGCGTGTTACATATTATCGCACTTGTAATCTATTTACAAAGTGCGATAAATTTAAGCTAATTTATTTACATCTGATAATCTGATAGCAGGGCCTCCGTCCGAAGCAGCTACTGATTAAATGTATTCAAAATAAAGGACCGCATCCTAGGACGAGAATGCGGTTCAGCATTTCAGCTCGTTGTCTTTAATGCAGTCTGACATGCAAATTATATACAACAATTGAAATACCCTAGCTAATATTTGAAGACATAAATACAGTGACCTAACGCGCGTTCGGTAGGGTTAGGACGAGAACTAAAATAAGGTTCCCCAGTTATTGGGGGCCAGAATAGATAACGAAACATCATAGTATATGAGCAAAACGTGATCAATGACAAACAGCGAATTAAGGGACCCGGCAGTACCAAGTATATCTCAAGACCCCATCCTCTGTTCGTTATGCCACTGCATGAATATCCAAGCAATTTAAATATGACGCGTGCATCTAGTCTAAAACTGGAGCAGTGCCCCGCTTGCAAAATTGTCTTATTTCCTTAAAAGGGTATATTTGTCTCACCAGATCTAAGCCATCTGGCTCGATTGTTGCTGGCATGTTGAAAGGTATCAATTGGCATAAAATAACTTATGGCATAAATATAACTCATGCATTGTAAATGTTTATTTAGACTCTTAATTCACAAAAAAATTACTTCATATATGTTGATATATATATGCACATTTCAGCACAATTCACTCCCCATGCATGTAGCTATATTTTGGTTGTGATTTGATTTCTCTCGACTAGCTCCTCGAATCGGAAACGTGGAACGCGGAAAAGTCTCAAATCGTACAAATCATAGAGACTGTATGAAAGTAATGAAGCTATATCAATGATGTTCATTGTGTGACATTGTTTATTACAATAAAAAAACAAGAGTGTCGTACAATGAACATCATAATATTGCTCAGGGAAATTTAGCCTATAGGCTTTGATAATGCACAAAATATCATCTGGTCAACATAATTAGAGCTGTGGCCCGTGTAAAAATATAACAAAACAGAAATTATGATCTATATTATACCATTTAAGTTTTGTTGATATTAAACTACATAAACCATCAAGACGCCGTCTACAAATTCCGTGTTTTGTGAGATTGAGTTTAGCGCTATGTTTTAACCAAGTGCGTGCAGCCTTGCGCACAACTGGCCCAAGCCCAAGGGCAAGTTGCCAAGCTAACGTGTACAAACATTTAAGTTTGACCTTTCGGATATTTCGCTTATATATATTTCGCCATACTTCATCAGAAAACGAACATTAGAATTTATCTTGCTTGGACAACATATCAGCTGCTTGGGCAACAGGAAAATATTCACTAATTTTGATTTGGGCTCCTTTATTAGGAAATTACATTCCGGATATTAAATTGCAATTATGCATGGTCATTGCACCTTGAAGCCTGCCAGCTAGAGCGGCAAAATGAACAAATTTGAAATGGCGCCTATCAACTGTTTATGCGTATATGAGCGCGCGGGTAAAGATCTTTACCAGTAATTTCGCGAAGACTAAACCAAATATTTGCTGGATATTAACATCTATATGGAGAAGTCAAGGCGTTTTACCCCTGCATATAAAGGTATGAGACTATACGAAACATTAGCTATTATATAAGGCAAGTCATGACTGGGCATACTTTATTAGGCGCGCTTGCATTATTTCCCTCCCAGCATTGAAATCAGGCTTATCGATGAAATCATCAACAGAATTCGTATTACGGTTGGCTCGATTTAAAGTTTTTTTTCCTTGAGTGTGTTG